TTTGTGTCAGTTAGTGCTTCATGCATTTTGAAGGTCTGTTATATACATTTAGATGTTTAGAATTATTATATTTTTGATGAACTGGCTCTTTTATAATTATAAAATGTAAATGTTCCTCACTAGCCTGAGCAATATTCTTTGTTCTGAAGTCTTGTTTATCTGATGCTAATATAAAAATCCACCTTTCTTATGATCAGTGCTTGAATGCTAAATCTTTTTCCATTCTTCTATCTGTGTCTTCATATTTAAATTGTATGTCTTATATAGAGCATTTAATTATTTTTGCAGTGCACCATTTTCATTTAATGTATTTTCAATTTGTTTGGAATTAAATACATTGTTGTTTGTTTTCTGTTTTCCCCACATGTTCTTTGTGTAGGTTTTTCTTTCCTGCCTTTCTTGGTATTATTTAGGTATTTTATTAGCCTTCCATTTAATCTATTTTCTTGGCTTATTAGCTCTACCTCTACGTTTTATCTTATCACTAGTTGCCATAGTATTTCCAGTATGCATCTTTATCTTATCATAGTCTTGCCTCAAAAGATATTTTATCCCTTCATGTACACTGTAAAAACATTACAACAATACTTTCCCATTTCCTCTTCTATTTTACACTATTATTTTCATAGATTTCCCTCTACATATGTTATTAACCACACAATCCATAGTTATTATTGTTGCTTTAAACAGTCACTTAGCTTTTAAGTAAATTGACAATAAAGTGTGAAGACATTTAAAAAATATTTACCCATATATTTAAACTTCCCAGTTCTCTTTATTTCTGTGTATAAATCCATATTTCCCCATCTGGTATTATTTTCCTCCTGCTTGGTGAAATTCCTTTAATATTTCTTGCAGCACAGGTCTGATGATAATGAATTATATCAGATATTGTTTGACTGGAGAATTCCTTATTTTGCCTTTATTTCTGAAAGATATTTTCTCAAGATTAAAATTCTAAGTAAACATATTTTTTTCAGTGCTTTAAAGATTTTGTTCCATTGCCTTCTGGCTTGCATAGCTTCTGATGAGAAGTTATTGTTGTTCTTACGTTTGTTCTTTTGTATGTAATAACTGTATGCCTGTTTCTCTGGCTGCTGAGTTTTTTTCATCACTATATTTTAAGATTTGATTATGATATGTATTAGTGTAAATTTTTGTGTGTTTATTTTGTTTGAGATTTTAGATTGATGTTTATTTTTTTCATCAAATTTGGAAAATTTTCAGACATTATTTCATTTTTAGATCTATCTATTTATCTAATGATTTCTTCCCTTCTATTTCTGTGACCCCAATTATATATATGTTGAATCATTTGATATTCTCTCTCAGGTTACCAGGAACTCTGTGTTTCTTTAAAGAGTGTTAGGCTTTTTCCACTTAAGCAGGAGAGTCTTCAGTAGCCTTTTGTCAAAGAATAATTGAGCCCAGTACTCAGGTGTGGTTCTTCTTAGTGATCGCTTTTCTTCCAATGTAATATTAGCCTCCAAGTAATCACTACAGGGTCTTTGTTATAATTATTTTTGAGCAGGAATTTTCTTGACTTTTATATTATTTCAGAGTGACTTACTAAGTAACACTAATTTTTTAACAGTTTAAGACATGTTTGTAATTGGTCACTTCCCCTTCTGCCAACACATCCCTTTTAGTGATATTTAGGTGTTTATACATGTTTGAATATATTTTAATAATTTAAAAATTATAACAGTGATACATATTCACAGTTAATAATTTGAAAAAAGCAGACAAGAAAGAATGAGAAAATACAAATTATTCATATCACCCAACCCCAGTCAGAGATAAATGCTTTGAACTATTTAATATGCATATTTCTTATATATATAATCTTCTATAATAACTGTTAATTTTTAATATAAGAATTGGGATTTATACTGTGTACTTATTGAGCAATCTGCTTTTTCACATAATATACCATGAATATCTTTCTATCTATTAAGCATTCTACTTTATTTGCTTAACAGTCATGTATATAATGCTTACTGTATTTCAGGTATTATTCTAAGCATTTTACAAATATTAACTTATTTATTCCTCATGACATCACTATTAGGTAAATGCTAATAACATCCCCCTTTGCACAGAAGAGGACACTGAGATACAGAGTAAAGTAATTTGCCCATGGTCTTAGAGATAGCCTTGTAAATAATGGGGCTGAAATCAAGCTCAAGTGGTCTAAAAGATAGTTTCACTTTGTGTTCTAGATATAATCTAGTTTGTGGTGTTTTTTTTTCACCAAGACACATTAATAAGGCCCAGATGAAATACTCTTCATTGTTCCATGCCTTATGCAAAGGAATGAGTTGGTTTTTTCTGCCTTGCATTCCATTTCCTTTGCTCATGATCCCTGATTTCTTTTTGAGGCCTCTTCTCTCACTGTGTTCAGTCTTGGTTGGGCAGTAAATATGGATGACAGCCCTTCCACTTTCAAGGTTGGACAGGGTGTATGTAGATTCCTTCTATCAGATCATCCCCCTCACTGCCCTGATGAAGCTGGGGGCAGATACATAACCTCAGCATGGCCAATTGTGTGCTGTTTCCTAAGATTTTAATCTTTGAGGGTTTTGAATTTATTTGTTTCACCACAATATCAGCTTCACAAAGGCAAGGATTCTGAATGGTCTCTGGCATACTAGGACTCAGTAAATATTTTTTGAATAAATGTATGAATATGTAAAACACTTAGCACAGTGCCAGTCACACAGTCGATGCTTAAAAGTTGGAGATATTACTACTGTTATCAGTTTTTTTGCTATTTTATATCTCCCACTACCAGAAGGAATGTTCTTTGAGGAATGTTGTCTGTTTTGTTTGCTGCTATATCCTCAGCATGTAGAGGATATAACAGCATCCTCTATCTGTTATCATGTGCCTGGCACATGATAAGTACTTGCAAAAATGTGTTGGATAAGTGAATGAATTCCAGTGGTGGCATATACTTGATTGAAGCTGATGGGTGTTCCCAAACCCTCTGGAGCTCCTGGTTCCTGTCTGTTTCAAGTCTGGTTTTTCAGTTTTCTATGATCTTATAAAAATTCCCCATGGCCTTCTAATACTTTCTCATTTTTGCTTAAGTTACCAATAATTCTTTGTGGTGGTTTATAATCAATGACTTTCACCTAAAACAACAAACCATAGAAATGCCTCTTAAATTCAGAGTACTGTGTTATCAATATCAGTAGAGGACCAGGGACAAATGATCTGTGATGTGATTTCTGTAATCTGTTGAAGTTGGTGTCGCTATGATTACTGACTTAATTTTGTCACCATTTGCTGAAATATTGGTATTTCTGGGACACTTCAGGGGTTTATGGGGATACCATCTACTAGGGTATTTAAGGTCAGGACAGCTCTGGAAAGAGGGAGACAGATATTTGCTGTGTCTGTACTGCTTATTTAGCAAGAGCTCACATTCTTCCAACGTACTTTCTCATGTACTTGGCTGTGTTCTGTTTCTAGGATGACTGCACATTTATTAAGAGTAATTGTTATCTGCCTTGAAAGCAGAGATCTACAACTTATTTTTTGGATGTGAAGCAAACTATACAATCTAGCATCAGAAGACCTCAGTGTTAATGTATTCCTGCAACTTATTTGCTCAAGAAATTTCAAATCCATTCTTTAAGTGGCTTTGGTTGTACAGCACCAATGATATGAGGGACAATGCTTAGAACACTTGTCAAAGTCCCAGTCCCTCTCTGTGACTGTCTCACACTTTCCTTGGGACACCATTTTTGAAGGCGTTATAAAATGCCTCATTTTGAGATCAATGCTAATTTAATAAGCACTACCCATTTATTTTCTGTGCTTTCTAAAATAGCTTCAAGGGGCTAAGTATAGGCTCTAAGACGATCTGCAACTAGGTGAGCAGGCTGCTTCATCAAAGGTTATTTAGAGGGAAGGTAGTGGCCAAAAGTCTACTGAGAAATTCTTTCTTTTGCTCTAGGTGTATACCCAAATGTGTTTGTAAGTCCCTCTTCATTCTTACTTAGCAGCTTAATCAAAAACCATTTAGTAGCTCTCTTTCTTTCAGATTATTGCCATAGACTATGGATAGTTTGCATTTCCTCCAAAAGATTAGTAATCAATTACTGTGCAAAAATGTGTGTGTGTATATATATATATATGTATATATATATACACACACACATATATATTACATAAATGTACATTATTACATTTATAAAATATTTATTATTATATATATATTTAATATATGAACTATGTTTCCCATAGTTAAACAGGTGACATTTTGTTCCCATGCTTTCATCCTTTTGTGGTTCCAGAAACATCATTATTTCCTAAAATAAAGCAAGAAAGTGGAAACCAGTAAGCCAATAAAATCTTTCTTTAGTAGTTTTCTACTATTATTACAAGAGAAAACACAGATTTACTGGTAGATGAATTTGTGAAGTGTGTCATAATGCCTTAAATTGAAGGCTTGTGGCCAAGTATGTAATCAAGCAAAGCTCGCTCCAACAGTACTATGTTAGTAGAAGCACAATTCCTTTTGAGTGAGTTTACATCTGTAAGGCTATTAACTGGCCAAGGTTCCTCTAGATACTAATGGTACATACTGGACAGCCTCTTAGCGACACTGCAGAGATTAATGCCAGGAACGTTGCTCTCTAACCAACATTGTATCAATGACCTTCCTGTACAGTGTTGCCCGTATAAGCAAATAGCTGGCTTGGAAGTTTTGTGGATTTTTTGCTTGTTTGTTTTACTTTTTAGCTGCTGGGCCTTAAGCTAAATCCCTTTCTTACGTGAGCACAGAACACTTTTAAAAAGGAGGAGCCCAAGGCAGTTGTGAGATTCAATTTGATTATGATGATTTTTTGCTACCTTCAGCTCAAGATTTCTTAGATCCTCCATGGCAGAATACAGATGGGTAGAATGGCATCATAAAGGGCCCAGGAGCAAAACATATTCACACTGTGTCACGACTTATAATTTTCCCAATAACTTCTTGTCTATCCCAGGAACCCATCTTCTGCAGAGCCTGCCTTCTGGAGAAAAGATTTCAGGAAACAGTAAGATTATAGACCCCTGTGCATTCTCATCTGAGCTTTATGGGATAGGAGGGATCACTGGAGCATCCTAGAGAAGGCTTGGGCTGGTGCTCAGCAAAGTGGTAAGCAGAATACTTGGTCTGTAGCATTACTGTGTCCCCTCTTCTCTCTACCCCTCTGGCTGTCCAGATTCTTGATCTCAAGTTTCATTCAGCAGGGAACTGCTTCACACTGGGGCCATAAAACAATGACATAATGGACAAGAAGAAACTTGCAATGTGAAGATTTTAGAAAATTCAGGGTCAAATTTCTTTTGGTTGTAAGTGACAGAAACCTTCCTTTCTTGTTTAAGCATGCAAGAAAATGTATTGGCAGAATACTGGTGTAGCTCCCAGAACAAGTGGAAGAGCTTCAGGAACTAAAGCAGCTCAGGAGACCTCAGTGATTTGGGGAATTGGAGACTTGATAAAACCAGTGATTTTGTGCTCATATGCTAGTATGGACTAGTTCTCTCTCTCTCTAACACACACACACACACACACACACACACACACACACACACAGAGAGAGAGAAAGAAGAGAGAGAGAAGAAGAGAGAGAGAAAGAGAGAGAGAGAGAGAGAGAGAGAGAGAGAGAGAGAGAAAGAGAGAGAGAGAGCTCTGCTCATTTATTCCCAGCTTCAAACTCTTCTACTGCAGTTGAGCTTTTCTCACTTGGTGGAAAACATAGATTCTGGCATCCTTGGATTTACAAAATCCCAGCATAGAGGCCCCAGAGAAAAGAGAATGCACCTTTGTCCTCTTATTGTGATTTGAACAATATCCGAGGAGAATTCTGACTTTGAATATAAACCTGGGGTGTTAATTGGCCACAACTTGATATAATATGACATGCAGCTGATGCAAATATAACCATGATCAGAGCTGCATTGATATGAGCAGATTGTCTAAAGCAAAGGATGTGGTGATCCAAAGTATGATCACTTTTTCTTTTAAAGAGGATGATGATTGAGTTTATGAGCTCTCTAAAGGTCTGGAAACTATGAATTATGAGGTCAGTTTTAAGAAGCTGTGGATGATTCATGTAGAGGAGAGAAGGCTCAGGAAAATTGGATGGGACGGTACAGGGACATGAAAACTGTCTTCATATAATGAAGGAGAGGGGCTAGATTTACTGGCTAATACAGAATGTAAAACTAACAGTAATGCAGAGGCAAGGAGTAGGTAGTAGACAGTAGTAGAAAGTTCATTGGTTTCAGGGTCAGAAGACCTGGGCTTTGACTTGGTTTTGCCTCTATCTGAATCTCCTCCTTGTTGGAGTTTGTTCAGCCATGGCTTGAACTGGCTAGGCCATGGTTCAGATGAGATTGCTGGGGTTGTGGGGTGGAGTCAGTGGAGCCAAAGGTGTGGGTCATGATGGGGAGGCAAGTCTCAATGTTTTACAGAAAGCTTGAGGCAAAATCTAGACCCCAATCGAAGGTTCAGAGACAGGCCCAAGGTTATAGTCATAAGGAAGGCAAGAGTCAGAAGGGTATTGGAACAGGAGCAGGTCAGGAAAAAGTGGGAGCAGTTTGGTCTTGAGAAATTGGTAAAACATGAGTAGGCTCTTTTTTTTTTTTCCAAGTGTGTGAGGAGCCTGGTGAGGTGTACCAGCTTAGAGAGCTAAGTCATTATTCAGCCATAAACTTGGCTAAATATCCTCTCATAATTAAACCTCAGTTGCCTCAAATGGGAATTAAGGAGGTTGAAGACAATGAGTTTCCTGTATCCCTTAAGCTCTAGTTTAAAAGTTACAGGAAAGAAACCCTGCGAATTCTACTAAAACAGAGTTTTCTCCCAACTAGAAAAGTCCATTAATGGAGCTGGCAATCTTGGCAGCTTGCAGATCTATTGGCAGGGCAAGGGAGCCTAGACTCTGTACTTTCACCTCTTTTAACTAATAGCCCTTCTAGAAGGGTGACAGCATGCTGCTTAGGTTGTCTTCTATTGGCATCACTCTCTCTGTGCTTGGCTGGTTTTTCTCAGTCAGTAGAGTTATTGCAGAAATTGGATGTTCTCTATTTTGCCACAGTAGAAAGCAAGATAAACACTTTTCAGATTTTCACTGGTGAGAGTATTTTCCGTTGTTGTTTTGTCTTCTTTTTGGAAAATCTCCATAGTTACACTATTTGACTATCTGGAGCTTCTGCATGCAGTGCAAACACCATCTGTTATAACCCGAGACACACATACTGCTTGTAATTAATAATATAAGCCAGTGTTGCAGCTGTATGTGGCAGGAGAAATTGACAGAACCCCAACTTTTTTTGCAGGACTGACAAGGTGAATAGGGCATTTATGGTTTGTCTGAACTTTTGTATTCAACAGTTAAAGATCTTTTTTGACTGCTATGGAGATACTGCCTATTTGGTTAGTAAACTTGCCTTGAAGAACAAAGTAGCTATTGAGTGTTCATTCAGGAGGAGATAGAACATAAGGCTGTTTAAAGAGGCCTAAAAATTCCTCGACCAGGGAAGTTCAGGTCTAGGCACAGAAGATGTGGTTCTTTCTCTGCTTTCACCGTTGACATGTGCCAGAGGGGACCCAGAGGGTCACCAGGCTGGCATACTGTTTATCTTTCCAGCTTTCTATACTAACTCTTAACCTTCCTGTTGCACTATTGCTTTTCATATACATGGTCATTGAGGCCTTCCACAAGGCAGGGCAGAGTGTACTATCTACTACTATTCAGGAGGAAACTGAAGCTCAGGGTTGATATGACCTGTTCCTTATCCTAAGGGACACAACTGGGATTAGAGCCCAGTTTTGAAGCTCTGGCTCTGTGTCTTGCCCCATTTTTTTCATTTTTGCTCTGCTTCACCAGCCCTTTCAGCTCATGGTTTATGGGATGTTGTGAGGGCTTCCTGAGGAATATGTTTTTGAGGGCTATCTAAAGCAGAAAAGATCCACACAGGTGCAAAGTTCAAGTGCGCATGTTGGGGTGGTAGAATAACTATTCCTGTGTTTGGAGATCCATTGTTGAGTTCCAGCTTTGAGCTGCGTCCTCAGCGTTATAGAATGTAGCTCTTGTGAAAGGACTTCTTGGTTCTTTCTAAGATGACCATGAAAAGAAACCTGCCATGGGCACTCCTTAAAGGCAGGGATTATATGTACCTCATTCCTGTATTCCCACTTTCCAGCTCAAGGTCAAGCTGCTTATGTTGCCAAGAGGCCCCTGAGCATCAGACAAACAGGCAATGGGGGCAGGAGTGCCTACTTTGTGCCAGGCCCTTTGCTAGCTGGGGACTAAGGGTACAACAGTTGCAAGACTGAATATGGTCCCAACCCTCCTGAAGGAGACAGTCAAATTAGGGAGATGCACTACGAATAAGTGAACAAACAATAAATGATTACAAGCCATGATGAATGCTTGGAAGGAAATTAATTTACACAGAATTGTGTGTGAGGTAGATACTCAAAACTTGGTGTTCTCAACTCTTGGAGGAGATGGCATGGAAGTTGAGGCATAAAGGATGACAAGGAGGTGGCTATTCAAAAAGTTGGAGGAAAGCACTTCAGGCAGGTTACCCCACTACCACGCTTATAAATGTTCCTGATGATGACAGGTATTCCAAGGGTATGTGAGAAAATGCTCCTAACTTTCAGGATAGGGTTAGAACCCATGGAACATGATTCAATGTTAAATGCTCCATTGCCTGTGTGCATAGATGATGCAAACTATCAGCAGTGTCTACTGCATGCTGCTTCATATGCACATTGCTCTGATGGTCTATGCCTGTCTTAAATGAGGCCAAAGTCATTGATATGGGCAGCTGTCTCCCATTAGTAGTCTAAGCAGGATTACACTTGGTGGTCCTCAAGGGCCTTCCTAATCTTAAGATATTTAAGCACTTCAAGGGTCCCTTAGTCTCTTTCTGTTCTCCAGCCCTTGACAGTATCTTCACACTGATTCCCAGTAGGACAAAATCATTAACCAACAAATTTGAAAATACATTTTAATGATCATAGAATGTACAGGAGTTTCACTTTTGGAAAATATATGCCAAGGAAAAAAATTCAAACTATGTATGTACACATTGCAAATTTGTCCAAATGGAAAATTTGGAAGCAATCCAATGGTAAACAGTAAGAGAATGGATAAGTTAAAAAATGGTAACAGTGGTAATATCAGCTACATGTACTAAGGAGTTACTCCCAGCACCATGTTAAGTATTTTATGGCATTATCTCATTAAGCCTCAAAACAACCTGGTAATGGGTACTCTGCTATTGTCATCCCTAGTTTATAGAGAAGGAAGCTGAATCTCAGAGGTTGAATCACTCATGTAAGACCACAGAATCAGTAAATAGTAGAGTTGCAATTTGACTCCAGCTGCATCTAATCCCAAAACACACGCTCTTAACCACCTATGGTGCACTTTTTTTGTCTCTATCACATCCACTTCACGTGGCTCTCAAAATGATGGCTGTAACATGTAAAGATACTTAACTTGTATGTATTTTAAAAATACAATTGTGGACATGGTTAAATTACAACATTATAAAGCAAACAGGACTTATTTATAACCAAAAAGACAGAGAATTTGTTACACTTAGTCAGCTTGGGCTGCTATAACAAAATACTATATACTGAGTAACTTAACAACAGAAATGTATTTCTCACAGTTTGAGAGGTTGTGGAGTCCAAGATCAAGACACCAGTAGTTTCCATGTGTGGTGAGGTCCCACTTTCTCATAGATGATGCCTTCTTGCTGTGTCCTCACACTGTGGAAGAGACAAACTCCCTGGGGCCTTTTTCATAAGGACAGTAATTCCATTTATGAGGACCCCGCCCTCTTGACCCAATCACCTTACAAATGACCCCATCCCCTAATACCATTGCATTGGGGATTAAGCTTAAACATAAGAATTGGGGAACATGAATATTCAGACCATAGCAGAACTGTATCAATGTTTACATTGGTCATTTGGGGGTAGAACTTATTTCTCTCTTTGTACAATACTCTAGATTTTCCAAATTTTCCGTAATGAGCATTTGTTACCCTTAGAGCAGAAACACTGCCAACGAACTTGTTATTAAACATGGGAACACCAATGGAAACCCCATTCATCTTTTCTAACCAAGTGGCCTCCATTTTATTTCCCTTTGACTAGTGAGCCAGAAGCCTCATTTTTGTACAGTAAGCATGGACAAGGAAGGGAAATAAATGAAGCACTTCAGTTGTTTGCCTTCAAGTCCTCGCAGAAAGAAGTAATCATTTCTGTACACAGGAGTCTTATAAGAAAAGTTCAGTGTCTAACAATACCATGGTTTTGAATA